TTTGGGGCAGCCCTGAAGGAGTTTAAAGGTTTGAAGGAAGGGTGGATGTCCCAACTCAGGGACATTTTGCATCTTTAGGCACCAACGTGCATTCTGAAAATGCAGTTTTAGACTTTCCTCAGCTCCCATCTGTGCTCCACCAGCCTAACACATTTATTATGGCCTGGGTCCTATGGTAGAGGGTCTGCAGAGGGATTTTGAAATGTTTTTGAAATAGAAATTAATGCCATTTTAGCAGCACATTCAAATGCTCTCCCAAAACCCCATCCCTTCCACACGACTCTGCCACGCTCATCCTTTGCTGGGGGTTAAACAATTTTCACAACACAATCCAAAATGTTGGCATTTGATTATTCCCTCAGGAAAACCACTGGGGAGGTTGTTGACACAAGATTTGCAGCCCACAGGYAACTCTGAATGAGATAATTGCCACCATTGGCTTTAAATGCCTCTCCAGGGGGGTTTAGTGGAAAAAAAAATTGTTTTCCCTGAGGTCTCACAGTCCTTGGGAACAACTCCAGGAGCTGCAGCGTTTCTCTGTGTGTTTTTTGGGAGACAGAAAACAGAATAAAGGACATTCCACAAACCCATGAGTGGTGTGGAGTGAGCTCCCTGCAAATGTCCTGCTGCTCATTCTCCAGGCCGTGCACGTATTTTTAATAGGATTAAATAAAAAAATAAGATTTTAATATATCAATCTTTGACACTTCCTGCTCACCCTTGGAATTTCACCCTTTTGGCCTCCCAGGACGAGGCTGTGGTTCTTTATCAGTTCTCAGTGCTGGAGTTCAGAGTTGAAACTTGGCCTGTAAAATTTCTAACACCATTCCTTCAATCCTAGGCTGAATCATCAAAAATCTTTATGTGCCTATGGTTTATTTGCAAATTCACCCCAAAGCAAATGGAATTTCGCCTTTACTTTCATCTTCCCTGAGCTGAGAAAACCCCCAAGCACATTTGGAGTGGGAACAGCTGAATTTTACCCCATTTCAGCACAGAATACTTCCYCATGCCACTCAATCCTTGCTTTTTCCTGTAAATTGTTTCACTTCTCTACAGCTGATACCCTCAGGCACATTTTTTCACCACAGGAATGAACAGGCTGAACAACTGTGCTTTGCTCTGAATGAAAAAAAAAAAAAGAAATTTCCTCCTCTGGGCCTGGAAGGAGTATAATTTAGCTCACTTTTGGTGAAGGTGCAAGTGCCCCAAGGATTTTGGATCCCAAAAAATTTTTGAGGCCATGGAGGATGGTTCCTCAATTCACTGAGGGTGGGAGGAAGAGCTCAAGACCTTCCTGGTGTCCTTTTTGAATTTCTGAGAGCGTTTGGATTGGGATAAACTGAGCCTGAGCGTTGATCTGGCAGGGCCTAAAGCCTCCCATCCCACCTGCCTGGAATGAAAACCCAGGGCCATCTCCAGGGGAAAAAAATGTGTGATTATTGCAGAGAAAAATGAAGAAACGGCAGCTGAGAAATCTCAGAACTGGGCCAAGGCTGCATGAATCTGCTGCAGAGATGAAAAAGGCTTTATCTTAGTACAGGTATTAAAAATGGCTTTATCTCTGTACAGGTATTAAAAATGGCTTTATCTTAGTACAGGTATTAAAAGCTCAGCAGAACAGGGGTGTGTTTTACACAACTGCTGCCTCAGGAGCTGTTCCCCAGTTTCAAGGACTCCTTTAGAGGCAAAGTCCATCCCAGGCAAGCAGAATTCTGTTTTCCAAGAGTCATTTCTCCAAATGTCTATTTACTCTTTCTGCTGTACCAAAATACGTTAAATTCTTTTAGGTTTGCATCCCTGAATTTCTTCAAAGGGTGGGAAACATAAATTCTTTTAGGTTTGCATCCCTGAATTTCTTCAGAGTGGGAACCTCTGGATCTTTGGTGTTGGTAAAGAGCAAAGACAGTTTCTGCTGTGAATTTTGCTGCATTTTCAGTCAGCTGAATCTGGAGCTGGGAGTGAATCTTAGCTCAGCTTTTAAAGTAATCCAATRCGTAATAAATTTGAGAATATAAAAGAAACAAAGGCCTGTTGTTTAAGTGCAAACACACAGAATTGCAGTATAACAAGGAGTTATTTTATCAGTAAAGGACTCAAAGTCCACGATGGATCAGTCTGAAGCCCCGTGCTGTGTTCATAAAGCCAGGCTTAGCTGGGTTTGTGCTGTGTTCATAGAGCCAGGCTTAGCTGGGTTTTTGCATCGCTTCTGCTCCACACAAGAAAACACAAACAGGATTTTAACACCACAAAACCATCCTAATAAAATCCCGTGCTCTCATCCTCATCCCACTGCACTTTTAAGTCCAAATCTTTGAAGAGCATGGTGAGAGGAGTGCTGGTGTGTGCTGAGCTGGGCTCTGTGCTCAGTTCTGTGCAGCTCAGCTTTTTCTCCAYTGGGAACATTTCCACATCCTCAATCTCTGCCATTTTCACTTTCTGTGCAGAATATGGGAACGATTCCAGCAGCATCCACTGCTCCTGGGAATTCTCCTCAGGGAAATCATCCCCAGTCCTGACCGAGAGCAGGAGAGCAGCTGACAGAGGAGGCAGCAGTGGATCCTCAGGGGCATAATCTGGGTCAGTTTTTTCTGCAGCCARCAGTGGTGGCAGCTTTGCCTGCTGTCTGTAACATCCCCTGTGCTCCAGCAGGGACAGGGACAGTGGGGACACACAGTCTGCATTTTCCAGCTGGGACACATATTCTGTATTTTCCAACTGGGACACACAATCTGCATTTTTCAACTGGGACACACAGTCTGCATTTTTCAACTGGGACACATATTCTGTATTTTCCAGTTGGGACACACAGTCTGCATTTTTCAGAATCAGCTGGGACACACAATTTGCATTTTCCTGGGACACACAATCTTCATTTTCCAACTGGGACACACATTCTGTATTTTCCAGCCAGGACACACATTCTGCATTTTCCAGTTGGGACCCACAGTTTTCGTTTTCCAGCATCTGCAGCACGACTGACTCCAATCTGTCCCTGCCCTTCCCCAGGGCCACCTTTGGCTGCTGCTCTTTGTAATCCCAGTGGTTGCAGCTCTTTCCCAGCCCCGTTTGGAGCTCTCCAAGCACAGAAACATCTGGAGAAGGTTCCTTCAGCATCTGCTGGGGTTGTGATCTGCTCTCTGTGCCATCCCCGCACACCCCATAGGTCAGGGCCAGRTTTTTGCCAGCAGGGATGCTCTGCTCAGCTTTTTGGGGAGCATAATCCATCAGGATTTCCAGCTGGGAATGTCGAGGGGGCAGCTGGAATGTTGGAATTTCAATTTGCTGCTGGTAGGGACAGAAAGGCCGGGCTGGCTCCAAAGCCCAGTCTAAGTGTTGGCTCATCTGTGCCAGCTGCACTTCGGGGAGGAAAAGGGAAGGTTTGGATAAATTCAGGGGTTTTATGATGTGCTCCACTGTCAGCGTGAGGGGCTGGAACGATGGGATCCCTCTGAAATCCTGGTGGAATACAAAAACAAGCACGAGTTATTGGCAAGAAGCTGCGACCTTGAAGGTTTGCTTTAGTTGCTTTTACATTTTCTTTGGAGAAGAGTCAGTAAAAGCAGTAATGACCCCCAGGGATCTGCTCTGCTGACTAAAGAACTCTGCTTTTTTAATTTTTTTTTCTAGTGAATGAAATTCCCTTCACAAGAATAGAGACATTTCTCATCATGTATCAACCAAGCAATCTTGAAATAAGAGAAACAAAAACTGCTTTCACTTTTGCCAAGTTTGGCCTAAGCCCTGGAGAGTAAAAATCAGTTTTCCTTGAGCTCAGTAGTGTGAAAACCCAACTCTTGCTGTGGGGGATGAGAAATAAATGAGAATGTCAGCGTTTCAAGGGGAACTGGTGATTTAGGATGTCTCAGTTTGGGGCAGGTTCTGAGCACCCTAAAGCACCAGCAACSTGCACTAATTACCCAAACAAACCTCATTAACGCTTTAAACGAAGGAGGGTGGGTTCAGATTGAATTTTAGGGATAAATTCTTYACTCAGAGGTGGTGAAGCCCTGGCTGTGGCTGCCCCTGGATCCCTGGGTGGGTTTGGGGCACCCTGGGGYGGGGCAGTGATGCCTTCTCAGTCAGACTGATCTGAAATAGAGCCCAGACTAACTTAAGAGAATGAGAATAGACAACTTTAATCCAGGCCTAACAGGCCTATTGGTACATTAGGGCAGACAAAGCCTCTTCTTGAGGCTGCACCCAAAATGGACACCGGGTCACGAGATCTTCACCTTTTATAAGTTCTGCCTTATTAACATATTGGGTCTTAATTCCCTAATGATCTTTTCAGGTGATGAGGTCACCCACCCCAAACTTGCTCCCCAAAACTCAATGTGTTTTCCATATTTTGGGGTTCTGAGGTGTCCTTGGATTCAGCTTAGAGAGGGATTGTTTTGTCTAAAGATGAGAAAATGGTAGTTTTTAGTGCTGTACTGGAGAAATACAGGAATACAGATGAATGAAAATACAGAAATTAAAAATCCTAAGGAATCATGAGGAGTGGAGGCCACGATGCCAAATGGATGTGTAACAGGGCACTCACCAGGGCTCGGGGCTGGGCACGGCGCTCTTTGATGTATTTGTAAATCACAAAAGCCACAGCAGCAAAGAGGAGCCCGGCACAGAATGCCAGAGCCACCAAAAAATACAGAATCCACGTCCTGTCTGGGGATGGGGAGAGAAAAACAGAGAAACGGGTTAGAAAAATGACACAGCCAGCCAGGTGATATCACCTGGAATGAATTTTTAAATTATTAATTTTTAAATTATTAATTTTGAAATAATTATTAATTCTAAAATTATTAATTTTGAAATAATTATTAACTTTGAAATCATTATTAATTTTTAAATGATTAATTTTTAAATGATTAATTTTTAAATGATTGATTAATTTTGAAACTGTTAATTTTGAAACTATTAATTTTGAAATTATTATTTTTGAAATTATTTCTTTTGAAATTATTAAAATGTTCCTTTTTTTATTAATCCATCTATTTGTATTTTTTTGTATTTGTATTTTTTTTTAAATCCATGTATTTTTTTTTTAAATNCCATTGTACTCAGTGTCCGGGTCCAGGTTGGAAACCTCAAATTCTTTGTTGTGCTCAGTCTTTGTCCACTGTTGAAAAGAAAGAAAAAAAAATCTGTATTTATTAATTTATTAAAATTAAATTTACCTTGATTCACACTGCAAAATTCAGCACAAAATAATATTTATTAATAAGATCTTATAGGGCTGCAATTATTCTGTWGGTATGGAATTTGGAATATTTATATAATTTTATTTTCTATTATTTCTGTATTTCATTTTGCATTCCCATTTCTTCCAACTTGAGCTACTCACATAATTTTTAGTTATCAATGATTTTAGTTTTTGTTGCTTTTAGAGTGCTCTTGGAAAGTCCTTTTATCCCCAGAATTTTCAGAGAATTTTCAGAGAATTTTCAGAGAATTTACAGAGATTAAAATTTCTGTTGTCCCGAGAGTCAAAATCTCCAAGATTTTCCCTTGCACATCCAATGTAAACTCTGAGCTCCTTTTTATCCTAAAATGGGATTTAAAGAGAATTTAAAGAGAATTTAAAGAGAATTTTAAGAGGCTTTTAAGAGAATTTTAAGAGGCTTTTAAGAGGCTTTTAAGAGGCTTTTAAGAGGATTTTAAGAGGATTTTAAGAGGATTTTAAGAGGATTTTAAGGGAATTTTAAGGGAATTTTAAGAGAATTTTAAGAGAATTTAAAGAGATTAAAATTTCTGTTGTCCCGAGAATCAAAACCTCCAAGATTTTCCCTCGCACATCCAAATTCTCCTTCCGTGATCTCCCCAAAAATGGCATTTCCAGGATTGCTGAGCTTTACCTGCTGCCGTGTCCTCGGGTTGAACATTATCAGCTGATAATCCACACTCTGGAATTTGCTGTAAATGTCCTCCACCGTGAGCTGCTGCTGATCCTCCCCCCGCAGCGGGGTCAGCGGGGGACGGATCAGGAATTTTATGGAACGCACAAAGGGGAAAAATTCCAGCTCTGGTGGCCCTATAACGGCTGGGAAGGACAGAACGGGCAGTGAGAGCTGA